TTATTGTTGTTAAGTGCCATGGAGTCGGTTCTGACTCATAGCTATCCTGTACAGGGTTTCTGAGGCTGTAAATCTTTACAGGAGCAGAAAGCCTCATTTTTCTCCCTCAGAACAGCTGATAGTTTCAAACTTCTAACCCTGAGGTTAGCAGCCCAATTCATAACCACTATGCTACCAGAGCTCTTTACACACACACCACACCACACACACACACACACACACACACACACACACACACACACATATATATATTTATACACACACCTAAATTCTACCGGACAGCTGATGTCCATTAGTGATTGATTAAGTTAGAAGAGAATAATTGTCCTTTTTTAAAAATTAATGAATCAGTTAATTTCAGATAGTTAAATAATAGTTGCAGTGTATTCAGCTCTTTGTAGCATGTGTGGAGTGCTGAAGAAAAATGAGGCATGTTATGCACTTTAAAAAAATATAGATTTCCTCCTGGAAATCTTTAATAAACATTGTAACATCTATTACCTATTAATTGGGTTGTCTATTGGGGTTCTAAAAAGGGCCAGGAGAATTACTGAGAGATACTGAAATCACGGAAAAGAAACCCTTGGTAGGAGGAAAGTAGGTATAAAGCAAGAAGTGTTAGCGATATGAAGAGATGGTACTGATTTGCTAATTAAAGTCAATGTGAATTTATACGACTTAAAATTAGTTTGTGGTACAAAAATATGTTTATTTACTTATTTATATTATAAAATAAAGCGTTCTCATAAAGATATGACCCCCAGATTACTAAGCATATAGGTTTGGTGTAGACATTCAGTATATGGATTTATCCACTCCTCACTTATTGAAATGGTTAGTGTCTTAGACTGGGTTCTCTAGGGAAGCTAAACCAGTGAAGATTATATATATTTGTTACTATTGTTGTTAAGCACTGTTCAGTTGCTTCTGACTCAGGCAAGCCTGTGTAGGGTTTCCAAGGAGTGGATGCTTGGTTTGGACCCACAACCTTGCAATTAGCAGTCCAGTGCTTATCTTGTAGTGCCACACCAGGAACCCACATACAGAAACGTTTAAATGAAGGAAATGGCTCCTACTATTATAGAGGTAGGGAAGGTCTAAGTCTGTGGATCAGATGTCAGGCCGAGATGTCTCCTGATTCACATTAGCTGCAGGAGTGCAGGAACCTAAATTCAGCAGGTTAGACAGCAGATTTCTGGCTACAGAGGCAAATGAATCCAAGGTTGACAGGTAAGATAGGCTACTGACAACTCCCAGGATCAGCAATACACCAGATCAATGACTCCAGTCCAAAGAACTGGATGTCAAATGACAGGTCAGGTGCAGGATGCAGACCCAGCAACCCAGCAAACAGCAAGCAAGCTTTACAGGAGTGTCGAGTACATTAGGAGCAGGCCACACCCCTGAAGAGACATCTTTTCAATTAGTTTACCGATATAGATCTTACCATGAGGGATGACTATATTTAAACTGCCAAGAAATGGCAATTCCTGACCCAGTCAAGTTGACACAAAACCTAAACTATCACAGTTAATGAATGAACTTTCAAAGACCAGGCCATTATTTAAAAATTAACTTTATATGAAAATGGAGGATGTCTGCCACATCAGGTCACAAAATTGGAGATGACTACACCAAAACATAATTGAGTACACCAAAATTGACAAATTACCTTAACCATCAGCTAGAGTAATTTTCACCTCTTACCTCAAAGTTTGTTATTGCCAAATGTACATTGTTAATGCATAAACTCATCACATAGTAGATTTTAACTATTGTCATAAATGTAAAATGTCAGATAACAAGATGTCCGATTAGTGAGAAATAAGTATACTCTGTTCTGTGCCTATTCATTATTGATCCCTCCTTTTACAAGTTAATGAGGTCTTCCATCTGGTCCTAGTTATGCATTTTTTTCAATGAGACTTATTGATTTTTTTAACCTCAATTATTTATCAAAGAACAAAAACTTTTTGGTAAATATTTCATTCACCCAGTTAATACTTTTGGTCCTAGATTCCGTCCCCATCCCATTTCATTGTAGTTTTCTTCATGTGCTGATTAATGTCATCTCATTTTTGTGCTTATAGATTTAACATTTTCAGTATCCTTTAGATGTCTATTTTGAGTCTCCTTCTGTGTTGGCCATGGCTCTTAGTAACAAAGTTACATTTCAATTTACTAATATTTGGAATTCCATAGACTTTCTTAAGACATATCTATCACAGCACAGCTTAAGAGGAAAGACAAATGGAAAGCTGTGTATATTTACAACCAAAGTTAACATACAGTCTACCCACAAAATACAAATTTGTAATTTCAGGCAATTTCAGAGGACTCATTTATTTTCCTTCCAACTCCAAATTAGCATTGTTAATTACAATTGTGATTTTAAAGATCATGTTAGTCTAAAGCCTAGATTTACACTCTCTTCCATGGTTTTCTGTTGAAAAAATTCTTATTAGAGCAGAAGAATCATTTTCACACTGCAGTATTTCCATTTGAACAATTAC